AAGAAAGGGAGGAGCCGCTAGCTGAGACACAGAAAAAAATTGGGTTATGTTGTATACTATGTATACTAAATCCATTAAAAATAAAAATAAAAAAAAACATATAAACTTTTATAAGAATTATTAAGTATAAATGCACGTTAAATATGTTTTATAACTAACTTTAGTCATTTTTTCCATTAAAAAATTTGGTTTTGTGAACGACCCACTACATTATATTACATTATATATTTAGATAATACATAACAAATATAAAAACATTTTTTTCTGTGTGGAGTGAATGATTTTAGATTATTTGTGACCGAATTTTACGTTTTTATTTGGAGGTCCGAAACCCCTTAAATCAATTGTGGTATGAAAATGTTTATGAATTGTTCAATTGTTACGAGAAGTTATCGCGACAGTTGAATTCATGAATAAGAAAAGGTTATTGTATCCAAAAATGAAATAAATGTATTTAATTGTTTCAGAAATTTAATCTACTTTGTGATCCAATTGTAAATAAATGAAAATCTTTGTTGCTAGCTTGGAAAGCAGGAATAAATAAACTTTTAAAGCGTAAAATGCTCCACAGGATGTCCAGACTTTCCAGCACTAAAATTCAACTCCCGGCCAATAAATTCATAAAAAAATGAATCAGAAAACGCAGAAATATAGCCCAACTGCGAATGTCTGTGTGGACCAATCAAGTCCGCTGATGATCATCGATTGGGCATGCAAATTGAAAAGACCTTAAAATAGAATTGAATCCAATGAAGGGGGCTTCGAATCAAAGTGCGAGTGCATTTCGATTTCGATTGGGGACACAAGGCGATCCATAAATTGTGCCTTGTTGCCAAACAATTAAAATGCGTTGGTGTTGCACAGTTAATTTTGGGGTGATTAAAAACTGTCAGGGGGCGAGGCAGTGAAAAATGAAAAGCCCAATACGAGTATGCTAAACAACTTTCCACGACAGACAGAAAACCATAAAATAAAGTAGAAATCTCTTTTATTGGCCTTCGAGAAAATGTCATAAAATATTACAGGCCGAAACATAAATTCTGACACAATAAAAAGAATTCAATTGCGCGACCCTCTCGAATTGGAATTGAAAATTAACTCGACTGCTGCCTCAGCTTATCAACAGCCGAAAACTATTATTAAAATAAGGTTCAAGCTCAAGCCAAGCCATATTTCAGAAAATTTATGACATCGCACGAGGCGATAAGCAAGGGTCACCATAATATTCCAACACGAGTTCAAAACACAGCGGCATCTTTGGAAACTGTTTGATTTAAATTGGAATTACATTTTTCATTTGAAAATTGTGTAAAAATACCAAGCCGATACAAATAATGTGTCGAAAATAAATAAATAAATCGAATATGGTAATGAGCAGCTGCCAAGTGATCGAAATAACCATCTTAAAAGCTCAGCCTATAATTTGTGATTTTTTTGGTCGTTTAACTTGTAAATTAAGCGAATAAAAAACAATAAATTAAAAATATAAAAAGGGCATTCAGAGATATCTTTTAACAAATAATTATTGACGTTATATAAAATATTGGTCCAAATTCAAAATACTAAAAAAAAATATTACCAAAAAATCTGCTTAATGTCTGGATTGAATTAAAAAAAAAATAATTTTTATTATTTCTATTAAAAATATATTTCTTAAGCAGAATACCCTCTTTGCCCTCAAAAGCCCAACAATTTCCATATTAAACAGCTTAAGCCGTGATTTCATTTAGATCTCGATTTATTGCAATAAAACAAATTTATTATAATCTTTGTGTGTAAAACTTTTGACCAAAGAAAATTAATAAGTTTTAACACAATTCCTACTGGAGGGGGGATCTATGCAAATGTTACGCTTTAGCATTTGTAATTTATGAAAACATTCAATTCGACGAATTCCACCTGCTGTGGCTCTTAATGATCTCAGTTAGGAAATTATATATTCCGATCATGCTGCGAGCCAAAAAGAAAAACATTTCAAACACTTTGGAGCGGTTGGTATATTCGGAACTCCCCCAAAATGGAAATATTTCGCCTAGATTTATTACCCAAAATGATCCATGAATGATTTTTATGTGTTTGTTTTATGTATCTTGTGCTTTGGCGAATTTAAAAAATAACAAGAAATTTAGAGCGAGCTGTCTGCCATATTTGGAGGCAAATCAATTTACAACTTTTGCCTCGGCTCCAAAGTGAGCAAAAATGTTTCTTGATTTCGCTCGGAACGTTCTTTATTTAGACAGATTAATGAGTGGTGGCCTGGTCGAGCTGTCTGGTGTCATTTCATGCCTCTCAGTTGTCAAATTAAGGCCTATGCAATATGTGTTTATTATACTTATGTTTAAGTGTATAAAACTGCAAATGTCGCGTCGTCTTAATGGTTTCACTTTAGCTTTTCGCCCCAACTGACAACGTTACAATGGAAATTAGCTGGAAATTCGTATATTTTTTAAGTGCGAATTAAACGATCTCAAGTGCTGAATGAGGCAATCGTCTATGAAGCAATATTTGTCTTAGGTTCTCAAGTAATGGTTGCCCATATAAAGTGGAGTATTCAATAGAAATTTCAATTATTTATTTTCTTGTGGATTTGTTTGCAGTGGGAGTAGGTTTTTTTAACTGCCGGATATTAATTTGCCGTCGTAGTGTGGTCAATAAAAAATTACATCAATATTTTCATAAAATTAAGGCAAACAATAAAATTTTATTATTTATAAAAATAGCAAATAAAAAAATTACAGATTATGTGAACTAGAAATCTAATTAGCTATAACATAAATTTTAATTGTATAATTGCAGCTATTTCCTTTTCAAGTTGAATGTAAACTTCCAGTTTACCAATTTCATTAAACAAGGAAGTATTAAGTGCCTTAGAAAGTAAGTAAAAATCCAGTTTTAGTCACATTCTATGGAGAGTGTTAAATTTAAGTGTACTAGCTCCCACTTTCTGGGGACATTTCATTTGGCAGCGCGGTTAATAGATTTGTGCTAGATCTTAGCATTTGCCAGACCAACCGGTTAAACAGTAGCTCGACTTTTACATGGGTCTCTTGTAGTTCTCCTTTACGGTTTAGTTGTAAGAAAAAATACGACACGGCTGAGTGAAGGTAAGTTCTGTAAGGTTGTAAAGGTTTTGCCCTTTTTAAAAGAAAAGAAAAGGCCACACACGCTGAAGTTTGGGTTTGTTTTTGTTTTTCTACTTACAAGTAAAACGAAATTAGAGAAATTGTCTGAAGAGCCATACAAATGTGTAAAGGTAAATAGAAAATTTTCGAGTGGTAAAAGCCCTGCACAAATCAGAGATTCTACTGTGGCTACTTGCTGCAAAGCCGAGCAAAAATCAAACGACTTTTTAGAAGGTGTGGCAGATTTTACTAATCCAGAAGCCAAAAGAAGTTTATAAAGACAGTAAAAATTTACATAAATTTCTGTTTGGCACACCTTGCCTCACATTTGAATGTCTTCATTTCGGTTTAATTTTCACTGCTGTGGGTGTCGCACTCCAAAAATTATATTTATGTGCGACAGTGAAAGCCATAGAAATATGATTCGCCCTGCGATCAAATAAATCAACCTGAATGTCCCCTGCCACACGAGTGCGCACCCTTTTTTTTGGGTTTCCGCTTGATGTAGTTGTTTTTGGTGTGGTGTTGGCTATTGTTGGGCTGCCCAAAAGGATTAAATGATCGTAAATGGCACCCAAAACGCGTGTGGTCTTTTGTGTGTTCGGCTACGTGAAATCAGAGAGCAGGCGAACTTGTTTCATAAAGCAAGTTCAAGCGTAATTCCATTGAAATGAGCTGGTAAAGTTGAAGGAACACTTGAGACACGCCGCCTTATACCTTAATCAAATTATAATTTTCAAGGGGGAATGGTACAAGAGAGATTGCCTTTAACTTTATTTTAAGGTGTTCTATTTATTACAAATATTTTGTTGAGTTTTTTTTTATAGTTATTAAAAAGTACATATTTCTTACTTTATGAAAAGTCTTTCCCTTTAAATAAAATTTGAAAAATGGAATACCATAATTTTCAATTGACACAAGTTAAACAATTTGTACTCTTGTTGAAAAAATGTATAAAAATCTGAAAAGTGTAAGAAAAATTGAGGTTGTCTTTTCAAACTAAATGCCTCAAATACCGATATTTTCAAAATATAACAAGCGTAATATTCTTAAAGTATTCTATGAATATATTAAAGTGAATCACTGGCTTTAAATATTTCATAAGAAATCGATACAAATTGTACTTCCTTAATTGTATTTATTGAATTTTTCAACAGTCAAACGTAGGGAATTTATTCAAGTGATTTTGCAATCAAAACCAATTCATAAATGCATTAAAAATTATTTATATAAGACTCCTCCCCCTCTGACGTCAGCCAATTCCAACTAATTCACAATAGTCATAGAATACGAAAAATTCCAATAAACTCGAGGAATTTGTACTGCCATTTAGCATAGTGACAGAGTCAACAACAAAAGGCCATTAAAAATAATTTGAATAAATCATGGGAGGGGAGCGAGAAAAATTAATGTTTAGCCACTGCAAATGTCCAGCCGTGAATGCGGCAAAAACAATTCCCGCAATAGAATATTTCATTTACACGAACACACGATTAAAATCAATAGAAGCGAGGCTCCAACCGGAGGTGCGGATAATTTATTAATGTGATTAGCATTGCCATTGTGGACTCGACCGAAGATCTCATGGGCTGTCTTTGTTTCGCCCAGATGAAATCATAATAGTGGCTAAGCTCCATCGCAGAGGTGTGAAGAAACATAAAAAGATGTGGGGGAAATATGAATCCATTAGGTTACAAACGATAAGTCTTGGTTTATGGGAAATATATTTGACAATGGACCTCCCGCAAATCTTAATCAAATATTGAACTGTTTTATGATAATTTGTATTAATAAGTTTATTAAATATGGAATACGATACGAAGACAAAGGTCCAAAATTATATTTTGTCCCCAGATCAGAGTCACCCTTTATCAAAGTTACTCTTGAATCACAACACAAAATTAGGCTGTAAGCAAAATTCACACATAGTTCCAAAAAATGTCCGTAGAAGGTCCCCTCTCCAATATACCCGATGATGTGATAGAGTATCTGTTGGATCAACGGAAGCGGGAGCGCGAACTGACCATCGAGAAGGAGTTGCTCAAGGAGCTCATCAAAAAGGTGCAGGACATAATGAAAATGCTGGAGGGTCGCGACGATGGACTCCCATGTACCATATCTGCGGGTAATGTCTACCAGATGAGCACCGTGCAACAGGTGAGGGACAATCTGGCTGCCAACCTTTCCGTCACCATGGTACTCTTCGTCAAGGCCCACCGGAAGCTCCTCCGAATTCAGAGTGATCTTCGCCAGGATTACCATACGGTCCTGGAAACTGTCCACAATTCCGGAACCACCAACTGATACTGTCTGCCAAAATCTTGGGTTTAATAAAATTGAATACGTGTAAATTACTAACATTATTACTTGAATTTAATTATTGTTTTTTCACAATTTTTTTTTTATAATGTATTTTACAAATTAAGTCCCACGAATCGCCGTTCCTGATATCTATACATCTATCTAACTTTTTAGGAAATGTTTTTTTTTATATCTAATAAATCTTAACAAATGTAATAAGTTGAATGAAATAAATTCGAAAGGATAAATCTCGGTTCAGTTAAAATAACAAACAAATAAATACTGTATCTTGCAGCTTTAATCCTCAGTTATTTGATAATCATCTCTTTCCACCCCTCTGACCTCATGTTTTCCAATTAATCCACGTAATATTTCCCTGGGAACTCGAGGAGTTTGGCCAGTCACTGATTGCGTTGATAGTGCTGACGACGGAGCCCAAAGACAATGGGGAGTCAAATGGCAGTTTTCAACTTGAGCGACAACATGGATCATTAAAGGCATTAGTGTCAGGCAGAAGTCAGCCAGCCAAGCAACCGGATAAAATTTCAACTGAATTTTAATAGTTGAATTTCCCTTCGAGGTGCTGCAGTGGCGGAGAAGGGGGGTCCAGGTGGGCAGAGGTGTAGCAGAGGCGTAGCCGAGTCACCTTGTCATAATTAAATGTGTAATATTTGTCTTCGCTTTCGACACCTTTCCCTGTTCCACGAACTCATCGCAGCCCCACTCTCATCCCATCCCCCCACTTTTCAATCAACGCCTCCGCAGATGATGGCCTTGTTGTTGTTAAACGAGCCATGCCCTTTAGAGTGGACCTTTTTAAATTTAAACAATACAACTTAATGTCTAACTTAACGTTTCTAAGCGTAAATGGACAATTTTAGTCATATATTTGAAGATTAGGACCCATTTACACACCCAAAACCTTTGAAAATACTTTTTCCATTACTAGAAATGATTTTAAAAAAAATTGCGAATTTAATAGACCAATATGTACAGATCATACCCAAAATAAGTTCCACTTCAACAGGAAAAAAGTATATGGTATGATTCCCAATTTAGAATGTAACAGTATAAGCTCTATCTTAAGCCAAATGCTTTACTCAAGACATATTAAGAAATTTAACCTGTATTTAAAAAGAAGGTAAACCTAACAAGAAAGGAAAGCTAACTTCGGACGGAGCCGAAGTTGATTACCTTGCAGAATATTCTGTATTATTTCTTCAAATTATTCATATGATGTATTCTTAATACTATAAAAGTCTCACTTCCTAACTTTAAAACACAAGTTATGGCATTTCCAATCGTTCAGTTATATGGCGCTATAGGATATAGTCGGCCGATCCTTATGAAATTTGGTAGGTCGCATTGATTGGCCAAAATAAGACTCATAGAAATCCCAACTTCCTAACTTTAAAAACACAAGTTATGGCATTTCCGATCGTTCGTTATATGGCAGCTAATATAGTGCCGATCCGGCTCGTTCCGACTTATTACTACCTGCAATAGAAGACACTTTTGGGAAAGTTTCAGCAGATAGCTTTAAAGCTGAGGGACTGTTTGGTAGAAACGGACGGACGGACAGACGGACGGACGACGGACGGACGACGGACACGGACATGGCTGATCGACCTCCTGGTGATGCTGACAGAATATATACTTTATAGGGTCGGAATTCTCCTTCACTGCGTTGCAAACTTTTGACTGAAATTATAATACCCTCTGCAAGGGTATAAAAAGAAAAGGCAGGGGGTTTTTCATCGGATTAATGGGGAATGCACATGTAACGCGATAGGCGTAAATTGGAAAAATCATGGGCATTTCATCAGTTTAAAAACTCTATTTCTTTTTTATATTTCCGAAACTGGTTCCGCATAAGTCGTTTCAAAAGCGAAAAGTGCGTCGGCTTTGGAAAACCCCCCCTGTATATGTATGTATGTTTCCCTCTCATCACGAAGCCCATTTGGAGCCATTGTTGTTTGTGTTTTGTTCGACTTTCTTTTGTGTTGGAGTTTTTTTATTGTTTGGTTGCATTTTGCTTTGCACTACGCTTCGTTGCTGCCATTGTTGTTGTTGTTCTGCAGATTAACTTGTTTGTTGTTGCTGTGTTGGCACGTGCGTTAAAAGCATGCCCATGCGGAAATTTACTGCTCTTCGAGCTTGTTACCAAAGTGGCTTGTAATTAAAACTAAGCGAGAGGCAGCACCGTTTAACACTGTTAAGATGTCGTTAACTAGTAATATTATTTTATATTTATGTGCTTTTCTTAAAATCTTTATTTCACAGTGATTGCTATTTTTTATTTTATGTATTTCTTAGGCATCTGGTAAGCTCAAGATTCCAGAGAAATGCATAACATTTTCTATAACGATCTCCTATAATAAATCTTCTTTAGTCTTAACAAATAAAATCTGAAGATACTATATACAACTAGTAGAGACTTAAATGTTTGGGACTGTTTACTATTTTTGAAAAGTACGTTGTGTCTTTTAGCATAAGATGATCTTATTTATAGGATGTTTTATTTTATTTTTGCATGTTAACAGCTTCTATTGATCATCTCGTATTTTCCATTGGGCATCTCAGTTCATATGCCCAGCATTGATTGTTTTGTTTGGGGGCTTTGTAATCTTTTAAACATTTTTCTCTCTTATTTAATAATCCATCAATTTAAGTTACGAAAAATGAAGTAATTTCGGTGCGACTGTTGATTTGTTTGGCATTTACGGCGGAGACGAAATCGGCGGCGACCCCTCGCGACTCGTGCTCAATGTTGTTAACAAGTCTGATTAATGTCCCCGATTAGCATAAGTAAACATTAAGCAAATTATGTATGGAGTACGGGTTCGGCAGCGGGTTCATTTGCCGCCCGATTTCGTGATTCAATATTAGATTTCTTGATTTGCTGTCTATTATTTTACTTGTGTTTTTTTCGCTAATCAGTAAACAGCCGAGCGCCAACGAAATATAGGAACTGCCTGCGGGGCCCAAAGTCAAATAAGTGCTGGAAAAACTCCAACACCAATAACGGCTGTAAACAACCTTTAACGTTAATTAAAAGTGTACACAAAAATTTGCATTCACGACAAAATTGGTTAACGAAACATTTATACAGTCACACTTCCTTAACCTAAAAAAATGAAATTAAGTCGCAATTACTTTCAATCTCAATTCAATTATCGTAAACGAAAATTTTTTAAAAATATTTTTGTTCTTAAAAATGCACCAAATTGGCATTTACTTACAAAAATAATTTACCCAAACCTTTTAAAAAGAATAAATACAATTCAAATAGTTTTTGAAACGATTAATTTAAAAACCGAAATATGTACCTTTATTTTTTTAAATACTTAATTATTGTATACTTTTAAAACCCCATTGTTAATACTGTAAAGTATTTGTGACACCAATTCTTTTTAGTTAAAATTCTATTTTAACAGAAAAACTAAGCTTTCAATTTAGAATACAATTATGATTAAACTAAATCTATATACTTCATTTTTTGTGCACTAGTTCTATGTAGTAGGTTTTGCCTGTACCCGTAGCATACACATAAAAAATGAGCTAGGCTGGCCAGCTCGCCTTTTTGATTGAGTTTGTCGGCGAATTTATGCGCTGACCGCTGCTGGCGGCGATTTGGCGGTTTTGGCTGTTTTTCTGTTTTGGCGCTTTGGCGTGTTGAAGCTGAGCGCCGTCCCAACTGTCAGCCGTGATAAATGCCGCTGGAAATCGGTATTCTGTATTGGGCGCATAAATAATTCGGATGTAATTGGAAAAAGCCGCTGTGATTATTTTGACATTCGTGCCAGCTTGCAGGTGAATAATTTCAGCATATGCCAGAATCGAAGAGTTTTCAATTAACATTTTTTTAAATTTCCCATGATGGCTGTGCTGTGACCTTTCCGTAGATAATTGCAGTGGCAATTAGATTTGTTACTATGATTGAAAAGCTTTTAGAAGCTCTGATAAGATTATTGAGTTAATTCAGAAATAGTAATTGCACATTTGCATATGCATTACCTAATGGAAGTAATTTTTTCTAAAAGCCATGTTGTAGAATTAATTAAGCTCATATTAGCTCATAGAAAAACAAGAAAGGAAAGCTAACTTCGGGCGGAGCCGAAGTTGATATACCCTTGCAGAATACTCTGTAAATTATATTCTCCAAAATTATTCATATGATGCATTCTAAATACTCATAAAAAATCCGAACTTCCTAGCTTTAACAACAACAAAGTTATGGCATTTCCAATCGTTCAGTTATATGGTAGCTATAGGATATAGTCCGCCGATTCTTATGAAATTTGGTAGGTCGGATTGATTGGCCAAATATAACACCCACAGAAAATCCCAACTTCCTAACTTTACAAACACAAGTTTGGCATTTCGATCAATCAGTTATATGGCAGTATAGGATATAGTCGGCCGATCCTTATGAAATTTGGTAGGTCGGATTGATTGGCCAAATATAAAACCCATGAAAATCCCAACTTTCTCTTTACAAACACCAAAGTTATGGCATTTCGATCAATCAGTTATATGGCAGCTATAGGATATAGTCGGCCGATCCTTATGAAATTTGGTAGGTCGGATTGATTGGCCAAATATAAACCCATAGAAATCCCAACTTCCTAACTTTACAAACACGAAAGTTTGGCATTTCGATCAATCAGTTATATGGCAGCTTATATGATTTACTGCGTGCAAAGGAAAGAAGGGTGTGCAAGTTTCAATCCGATAGCTTTAAAACTGGTGCGACGACAGACGGCGCGGACAGACGGACAGACGGACAGACGGACATGGCTTATCAACTCGGAGGTGATCCTGATCAAGAATATATATACTTTATAGGGTCGGAGTGTTCCTGCGTTCACTTTTGCCAAATTATAATACCCTCTGCAAGGGTAAAACAATTTTTGATTACTATTATAAACTAAAGCTTTGTAAATATGGATATATGTGCATTGGATTAAACTATAAGCTTGCATTTTATTAGCTAGATTTAGAGTCAAACTAGTTCTGAGTTAGAAAGATTATAAATTCTTTTAAATACAAAATTGAC